TACTTCAGTTGGAGAAGTTTAGTTTTAAAGCTTATTGTTAGTGGTGGTGTGAGGTTCATTAGTCAGAGGTTCATTAGAGGCCCTGTGTAACAAATGCCAGAGTGCTGTTTGATTCCATGTCTAGTAAAACCACTAAGCAATGGAGGGAATTGTTGTAGATATTGATCAGCCTTTACGGGCACCATTAGCACTGAACATGAACCATGCCCCCGGCACCAGAGTTGACAACAGGCAGCGTCAGTCAGTGGCTGGCAGAATATATAAACAAGGATGGAGTCCAAGAGAAGGCATCATTATTCAACACAAAATAAGTAAACATCCCTGAGTGCAGGATGAGTCATCAAACTGTTACAACTGAAAAAAGAAAAGGGGGATTTTGAAATAAAAATACTATGATTTCGATAATAACTAGATGAAAGAACAATTACCATATGGACACAGGATTAAAACTAAGAAAATGTATTTTTCATTTCATGGGGCATTTAAGAAGAGAATCTCTAAAAATGGGATAATGCTGGAAAATTACTTTTTCTTCCACTAGTGCACTCGACTGAAATATTCAAAAACTTGGCTGCAGTGACTGTTCGACTGTTAAAATATCTGTCAAAACAGGCCAGTTTACCAACGTGGGTCATGATATGAGCATTTGGTTGGTATTAATTTGACTCCACTCTTCCAATACACGACGCTCACACATGTATTAAGTTGCTGGAGCATAAAGACCCTCAGACTTCATCCTTTTCGACTTATCAGCCTCTCACTGAGAAATATTATAGTGGAGGGGGTATACCTTAGACTCTAAGGCTTAGAGTAACAGTAGTGCACTGCAGGTGTGAACTCAGATTTATTTTGGCTTAATAATATTCTATTCTCAAATCTGTTAACAGCTCTCACTACATTTGTACTATGTGATGATACAAACCCTCCATCTGGACAATAGTAAAATCACTTAAAATGCAGTTACAGTTTCAAGCAACCACTCTTCTCTGCATGCTCAATGTAGGAAGAACAATATGAGGCATGCAAGGGGATGTTTTTACGATGATTGAGGCCAAATTATACGATTCTTGATGAGTTCTTTAAATGACGGCAGTTTGTTCATTAGTTTCTTACGTAAAGAAAAGTCATTGCTTAAGTGAGGGCCAAACTATTTCCAATTAAAGCAACATTGTGTTTGTATTTGACTTTGAAATAAAAGCTTCAAAATTATTTTTGATGGAACAATTTTGATGGAACAAAGACCACTTTGCACCGAGAAGCCTGCTCTTGCGAGTGATAGTCAGCAACTTAGACTGTCAGAGTGAGGCCCAGCAAGTTCAAGAGTAAAAAGACTAAAAGCAACAGAATATGCAACTTTTTACCTCAGAATAGCAGCTTTAAAATTAGCTTGATGGTTCACTGACTTAACATGAAGAGAATGTCTCTTTTCATTCTCACTCGTCACCCTAAATGTCTGTTCTTGCTCTGTGTAACTTTTGTGAGTGGGTTCGATCTCCTGTGAGAAGCTTAAATTGCTAGAATCAGGCTACAGCAAGTTCAAGAGGAATAGTGAATTGTAAATCAGTTAGAAACCTTAGAAGTCATCAAAAACCGCGTTTATCTCCAATATTCAGAGTTTGGTGTATTTGTGATAGATCTTCTGGTTTACGCAGCCGGGGATCATGGGTAAAATCCATTCAGTCGTGCTTCAGATCAGTGGGTGGGACTACACAGTCAGAGCTCCAGTCAAGCTATTGAGAGGCTTTGTTTTTACTCTACATGAAAAGCACATAATCTTTTGGACATGAATCAAAACAGCAGCAATCACTAAATATGGTTGCGGAGGATGCTGTTGCTCAGTAAAAGTTACATAGTGTCAGTCATTAAAAGCCAGTGTTAATCTCAGGTTAGCCATGTTTGTCACAGTGACTGCACCTACGGTTTGGGAAGACAGGGAACATGCGGAAGGTCTAATTTTTGGCCATATTTCAGCTTAATGAGAAGGACTACGCAGTTGGACTTGGAGCCCAACATAAATAATTACTTGGGCCGGCAGAGGTTGCACAAAGTTACAAAAAGTTGCTTTAAACCAGTTGGGGATATAGAGAAAAGTTGAGTTCACTGTTATCAAATAATAGAAAGCCTGGTGACAAAAAATAGTAACCCTGAATTATATACGACTGTAAGAAAAGCGTTCACACCAAATGTTTATTTTTTGGTCAACAGACTCGGCTAATCACTGAGTTGGCAGACGTGAAAGGCAAATTCAAAAGAGGGAACATAAACAGACAAAATCGTTGATCCTTCCATCTGTTGGTTTTCAAAGAGAAACTGAAAAAAATGGGCTGGACCCAAAAACACAGGCACCATTGTTGCCTTTGTGTCATCTTCAAGAATCAGATTTAACTGTAACAGCAGCAGACGTAGACTGGGAAAATATTTTCAATGGACTGCTTTATAATTCATCTGTTGCTCTGTCCATCAAAGTTTCTTTCAGGACGTGGCAACATCTTGAAATATGTTAAAGAAATAGCCCAAAATCTAAAAAGCATCAGTTTGTGTTGATACAACACACAGATGAGCAGTAAATGTCTGTCACTGTCGCTTGAGAAATGACTTGTATGGATGTTTTCTGAATCCAATTACACTTTGCGGAATTCCTGCTGCTCTTTAAAACAAAATACCAAGTGATGAATAAAGCAGGATGAATCAATATCCTAATGAGCA